AGGGAAAATATATTTCATAAGCAATCAGTGTGTGAGAGAGAGAGAGCTGAATATGTATGGCACTTCAGCCAAGATTTTGATTAAAGTAGCTCTCTTAACAGCTGAATGACATGAAGACTATGTAACAAGTTCTCAAAAACCTTCACAACTCTCAAACCCTATATATAGGTTTATAGATATATACAGATATATCTAAAAGTGTTTTTGAACAACTTTTGGCTAATAACTCTTGTTTATAGGGCTGTCAATCTATTTAAAAATTATCAGATGCTGCAGATATTAAAAATTACCAGATGCACGTAATTGCTAAAATTAGTTACAAATGATCACAATTATTATAGACCATAAATGAAGATGGCAAAAGAATAAATAATTTAATAGCTTAAACGAAAAGTTGTTTTAGAAGTCAATATATTATTTAATTTACTTCATATCAGTGAACATAAGCCAATTACTGAACTACCTGTACATTCCACAGCAATTACTAATTGAGCTTGTCAGTCTGAGATACAGTAAGGATGCTTTCTTGTATTCCATCTCCAGAATTTTACATTTTTGGTGTAATCATCCCACATACTGACCGCTTGGCTGTAAATGGCTGTTCCATTGCATTGTGTCGTTTTCAGCATCCTTGAGAGAGACCCCTTTTAAAAATCTGGTTGCATCCAAAGGTTCTTTTATTAAAGAAGAAATGACTAACGTTCATCAAGTTTGCCATGTGACCTACCGACCTATATTTGCAGCGCTTCACTGCTATTCACAACTCATGGCCAGTAAAGTGTCCATTGGATGAAACTTAAAAATGTCTATGAAGTAGAATTGAAATATATTTCCCTACTGTTATATGAACACTATATGAATACCGACATAGGCCTACTGCTTATTTCACATACTGTTTTTTGCCTATTCGGATACAGACACTGTCCGTTCCCTTGCGCTACAGCAATTAATCTATAATGTAATTCTGAGTCTGCCATATTGCACTTTGTTTTGAACGTGCACTTTTTGGGTGAATGCCTCCTAACCAGGGTTTGAAATTAACACCCGCCAACCCACCAAATGCTGTCAAAAATGGGTAATGCTGTCAAATCACTAGCCAATTTGGCGGGTTACTTTTCGTAAGTTATGTTCACTCATTAATTTCTTGGGGAAGTTCATGCAAGTCAAATCTGTGCAGAACTAACCCTAACTTACGAGACACCACAATATATTAAATACAGACTAATTGCGCTGCATCTTTGTATATCTAGCTTATTTGAACATACCCGTGACCCGTCACTAAAAGCGCTCTAGTTTCCTTTGCATTGAAGCTGTAGCGAAAAGTACACTGTGTCTACACTAGACGCGAGCGGAGTGATTCGACACGACAAAATACAATAGAACCCATTATAATCAGTGATGCTGTGTCTACACAGAATGCGGCGCGGCATGACAAATCCCTGACAGTAAACTGATGCCTTGTTCTATTTATGACATACTGACACAAAATTATTTGCAACTGTCGCTTTGCTGCGTCCAGTGTAGACAGCCTCAAGCTGTTGTTGTTTTTTTTGGCTAGTAGAAGAAATGAATGAGTGGTAACTTAAAAATTTAGCAGCCAAATTGGCTGGTGAGTGAAAAAGTTAATTTTAAACCCTGCTCCTAACCACTGATCTCTCTGTCCACCTAATTTTTAACATAAGCGCGGGTGCTGCCATTTTGTAACTCGAATGTGCGCTGCATCCGGTTTGATCCACTTCCAGTTTGTCACCTGTACAAAATAGGTTGTTTATGTGTTTGCTAAATCATGACAAATCTCCATTATTGATCTGTTTCTCCTGCCTGCCTTCAAACGGGCTAGTCTAAAATCAAACTCTGCTCTCACACTAAGGCAAATGCACTTTAACAAAAATAATGAACTTTGACTAAACGGGAGACCATCTGCTCAGTTACAGGAGGGTAATTGGGCTGATCTGGTCTTGTAAACACTGTGGATAAGACCGACATAAATGTCTGGTTACAGGCAATTCAGGTCCAAGCAGGCACATTTTATGTTTATGGAGCCTCTGCAGATCCCCTTTATTGAATCAAATGTTTTTTAGTGTCAACCCATCCATATTACACTGAGCTTAAGCAGAGAGAGCTCTATGGAGGTCACCAGCAGAAGTTCAACCAGTTCTCTTTAAAAAAAAAAAAGACTGAACCAGAAATATCTGCAATTAAACCACTGCTGGTCCTATCCCCTCTATCAAACAAATGACTGATTTAATAACAACTGTGGTTATAATATTTTTGTGGTTACGAAACCACAGATGAATCAAACGGCACTTTGTTTGTGGGGGTGCAGTGATGATTCACATAGTTAAATTCAGACAAAATGTTAAGAAAACATAGAGGTGATTAAAATTTTGAAGCATTGGCGCCTCCTGCTGTCTAAGAGCTTCACAGGGAACCAGCAATAAACTATATTTCACATGCACATGCATTGTTTTGCTCCATATGTTTAGATATGTAAGCAATTGCTTTTGTTTCTTTTTTTAATTCCCATAAGACATTTCAGAAGAAACATCCAAGACATTATAAATGGGCAAGCTTGATTCTGAGCAACGTACATTATTCATAAGTAAAAATGACTTGCAAAAAAAAAAAAGATTGTCAATCACTTCATGTATACTACTCCTACTACTATACTACTTCATGTATAGTGTGTACTACTTTTAAATCAGAGCATTGGTAGACTGGAAGAACCAAAAAGTTATGAATCAGTGTGCAGAAATAGTGTGAACTGGGTTAGTAGATGTGGTAAGTCAGACTCCTGCTTTTACAGTAAAACAAGTGTTAGCATATATTATTCACACTATGTAATATCACATTCAGCATTAAAATGAGAGTCTTTGACAGTAACAAACCTGACAGGTCAGTTCGTGACCACTAGAGGGCGCTGTAAGGCTGTGTAAATTGCCATAGATGCCCCTTGATAACGTATTTGGCAAGTTATGTTTATTTAATATCTCTTTAAGAGTTAGGTTCATGCTTTCATAGACAAGAAGAACCAGATTCACATGATACATAAACGATGAAACTATGCTGTTAATTTATAATGACTGTGTGAGATCAAACTAATTGTTTTTGTTTGCCATATTGAAAATATGTTCATCATCGTAACTCAAATTTAACGGAATTTGGTAGCCTAAGGTGCTGCTGTTTAACACATTCACAGAGGCAAAGCATACTGACATATACTGAATATGTTTGTACACTTCATTTGAATCTGAAGGAGATGTAGGATCTGATTTGCACAGTGGCGGTGTTTAGGCAGTGGCCTGTATGCACAGGTCATGTGGGTCAAAGCTAATTTCCCTTAGGCAGAACTGTGCAAACAAAGAGAGATCAGCTTGAACAAGGAATATCTGCTATATACACAAGCGGTGATGCATAAAGTCTCTGATTCAGAAAGAAATGGGTGAATGAAAATTAAGGATGTCTTAGATAAATTAGTCTACAATGCATACAAACTATATTAGGATATATCCTAATATAAAACTATATTAGGATGTGTCCTGTTTAATTTTATATGTCAAAGCAAAAAATAAAGACAGAAGACTTTTTACAGAAGACACACACTAAAATGTCATTCAGTGTAACATATATCATATATAGTTCATGTAACAAAAAAATCTCATCAGGCATTTTTAGAAAAATAATCATTGGGTGACATTGAAAGACCCCAGCCCCCAAATACTAATAAACTGCAATTTTAAATCTTTAACCATCTTTGCCACTATCCTTCAAACAACTTGATTTTGCCCATTTGTCGGCAAGGAGGTATTAATCATTTTAAAATATAATACAATTTAGTATGATCACATGCAATCACATATTCTTTTATATATATTAATAAGTACAGGTCAGAATAAGTATGTTTCATTTTTCTACATAAATATATGACGATGGAACATTATTTCACCCATATTTTGACATTTTAAATTCACAAAAGTTATCTGAAACAAAAGTATACTCTTTACTTGAATTGAATATGCTTTCGATGTAAATTCTATGTAACATTTGAATACTTTTTCAAACATGAATATCACGAGGTTTTCTTGGGGTTATGTGATTTTACATTTAACCTTGTCGTGTCATTAAAACTTTCCTAAATTTGGCAGACAAACATTTCTAAATATTTCAAACCAAAACCAAAACTTTTTAAAATCAAGTAATAACTAATTAGGTCAAATTAAAGTATTTTGTTAGTTCTCCTTTTCAAGAATTCCTTTCTTAAAGACTGCAGTAGCTATCTTTTTTTAAATCCAATCAAATAAAATAATTGAAAACATGTTCATTACATAATCGAATACACTCTTAAAAATAAAGGTGCTTCAAAAGGTTCTTCACAGTGAAGCCATATAACCATTTTTGGTTCCACAAAGAACCATTCAGTCAAAGGTTCTTTAAAGAACCATCTCTTTCTTACCTTTTTATAATCTGAAGAACCTTCTTTCCCCACGAAGAACCTTCAGAGTTCTTCAGATGTTAAAGGTTCTTTATGGAACCATTTGGACAAAAAGGTTCTTCTATGGCATCTTGAAGCACCTTTATTTTTAAGAGTGTAGATCTAGATACAAAAAGTCTCCGTGGATGTAATGTAAATTTAACCATGCACTCAACAAGGGCACTGGGTCCATGAATTGTAGAGAAAGCCACAGGTTAAGTGCTAAACTGCTCACATACACTCTCCAGTGTTTTCTTCTGTTGACAACAGATCTACTCGGGTCCTCACCATCAATCTAACCTGAACTCACACTCAAATGCCTGATGACTCACAGAGACTTTTGCCCTCAGAATTGTTTTGTGCTCTGGGCGGGTCAGAGGTCGTATTTTACACGGCTTGTGTTTTATAACTTTTAACTTGCAGTTTATAATATACCCAAGAAAATGTATTACTAGTAAACTTAATTACAAGCAGGAAACTAGAACACTGTTTGACAAAAACACGTACGCACACAATGTTAGTTTAAAAAAAAACTGCTTTATTAATACCTCTCCTTCAAGGAAATATAAAAGTTGGAGTTATTTCTATATTTACAGAGCATAGTTTTTGCTTCAAACAAACAGAAACAAATCCTACTTGTACAAATTGAAAAAATATCCCTGCTGTGACTGTTCGATATCAGATGTCAGCAGTAAAGAAAATAGTCCTCTTCATCTCTCAACAATAGTCTGTGCAAAGAAAGAACGCATACCAAACACACCGTGTTGCTGCTACATTAAGGCAAACCCCTAGGAACAATACACTTAGGAAACTCCTTGGTAAAGTGACAGTGTCGATTAGATACTTTTTTTTAGCCTTCCTACAGAAAACGTCCCACATCTTCCACAAAAACAAACGCATAAAAAAAAAAGGTCAAAATCTCTTAAAACGGTTAGCATTGCACTGAGAGATCTTTCAGTACCCTTTAAATCCAAAGCAATTCACTGGTTGACCATAACTGTGAAATAAAAGCTTTAGAAAGCATAAACGTCTGGGTCTCAAGGAGTGTTTGCCAGTCGGGTTTGGAGCGTCGGTTATGGAAGCTGTGAATCTAAATATGAATGGAGGATCAGTAGTTTGACGACTTCCTCTTTGCTGAAAAGTGCTGCGAGGGTTTGTGCCCCTCGCCATAAATACCTCTTCATTGGCATGGAAACTATGAAAACCTCAAAACAAACCTTCAATTCAACTGCAAAAGAAATAAAGTGGACGCTGCGTATTAAAAGCAAAGCGTAAAATACAATTAAATTAGGGAAAAAGAAAAGATAGTTCCTAAACATTTCCTCATGGCATACAGATTTGTGCAGGTTATGAGGCAAAGAATATCAAACGTTCTGCATGCTGCTGCGTGTACAAAGAAACAGCAACTCAAAAATACATTTATCAGATCAACTGATACAATTAATTTGAGAGACAAACATTCACAAACATCAAAAAGACTCCTCAATGGTTTCAAAAACGTCACACGAGGAGCAACCCAACCAGCGCGGCGTTCGGACTCTTAGTCGTCCACCGCGTAAACTGAACTCAAAGTCCTGTGGAAGAGCGGCAGGCACGCTTAGTTTTGGTAGATCTTCTCCGTGGTGTTATAGTCGTTGGTAGTGCAGGTGTGGGAGGCCATGCCTCGGTGGATGGGTTCGGGGCTGTTGTCGCCGCCGCCGCCGATGGTCAGGTTGAGCAGACTGGTGCATGTAGGCAAGTAGACGTGCTGGACGTGTTCCACCTCTGACCGACACACCGGGCATGACTGTACAAAGAAAACAAGAGACTTCATCAGTGAGCATTCACCACAATAACATGCTAGAAATATTGCTATACTGCCACAAATAATACAATTCTAAATTAAGAGAGAAAATAATCAAATAAGAAAGTATTTAATTCACTGGATTACGCAAAACTAAGCATTATTACATAGTTATTTCATATCTAAATTTCAAATAAATAAATCATTTTAAATTTACGAAAGTTTAAATTTATATATATATATATATATATATTTTAAAAAACTGGTTTCGGAAATTGAAAAATCATAAATATCACAAGAAAAACAAACTTATAAAATTGTTAGAAATGTTGTCTTGGCAATTACGTTGTAATACTAAAATGATTCAAATGGAAATAAAAGGAATTGGAGCTATAGAATTGAAGAAAATGGAAACTGGAAAACATAAAACAAAACCTAATTTAAAATATTAATAAACACTATAATACACAATACTAAACACTGCATGTGAATGATTAATTAATAAAATGATTTAAGATGTCTGCAAAGTTTCTAAATTTACAAGAAAACATTTATTTTAATGTATTTAAACAAATCATAAATTAATTCCTAAATATTATTACACTTTTGTTGAGTCGCATCACATGAAATTTTGCAACCTGAACTAGTCTTGCCTGTCATAAAAAGGTTAAATTATCTGATATTTTGTGTTGTTTCATTTCTGACAGGTGGTTGCATCCCCTGTATTATTCTTTGTTAAAGAGACTTCTTAAATATACATTTTTAGGAAGTAATACTACTTTTACTACTACAGCTACTTTTCTTCATTACGATATCAAAACGGCTTTATCACTCTGACATTTTTGACACAATGTTGGGTAAAAAGCACCTAAACCTGAACGTTCTCTGACCTGCAGCTGTTCAGCACAGTTCTGGCAGCACACCATGTGACCGCAGGGGCAGAATGCAGCGTCGATCTCTTCCTCGCAGCACAGCATGCACAGCAGCGCCTCCCGCAGCTTCTGCAGCTTCTCCTGCAGCAGCCGGCTCTGCTGGCAGCTCCCGCAGTCCAGCGCCCCTTCATGCTCATGGGACGGTGAGTGGGACGACGGAGTGTGCTCCCCCGGCCTCGACATCATGTCCACGATACCGGCGTTGTACAGCGCGCGTCTGGCGTAGTCGTACACTTCCTTGGAGGTCCGCCGGATGTCGAATACATACTTCTTTCCCAGGTTGATGTTCTCATTGAGGAAAAGCGAAGCCAGGTGACCCTTGAAATCCCGGCTGTACTGCATCATGACGGCGTTCGTTACTGTGTCACACCTGCAGACAGAAACAAGAGCGATCGGTGAGCGACACTAGCACATTATCTGCTCGGTGTCTGCCACGCAGCACCTCAAACCATCCATTATCCATCAGAGATAATAGGCTACTGGAAAGGTGCTGTAGTTGTGAAAATGAAGGATGTTGCCGCTTGTTAGAGTTCAAGGGTAAAGAGCAGTAGCTGTTCTTCAATGTCTTGGCAATAAAAGCTCTTATCAGGGGCTGAAGAAACCTGGTTTAAACCCCGTTTTATTACCAGTCTGTCTAGAGGAGTCTTTACACAGCAGTTAATGCTGCTTTTTGCCTGCTTAAAGACGCAATGTTGTATAAAAGCTAGATTAAATTATGCCAGCTCTGACCCACCTCAGCATCGAAGTATATATTTGTGATTGCTGTGTACATGCATTTATGCCTCCTCAGAGCAGCATTAAACAATCTGTGTAACGATGCATAAATGCCACTTCAGAAGCACTTCTGTGCCACCTTTGCAGTGTAAATTTACCATCAGTCGAACAATTGGAACACATGTTGCTACAATGTCTCCTAAGATTGAACGAACCCCAACATTTTTAATGGTCTTAAAAAAAAAAAAAAAAAAGTGACAATCATTTTGCTTAATGAGAGGCATTTAAATTGTTCTATGGCACTGTGACATTTCCATGACAAATCAGCACATTTTCCCCCAGTTAAAATATTACTGTATTACAATGAGAATTATCATTAAAAAAAGAGATTTTTTTTTTTTGAATTTTAGAGGGAGAATTTATAGATTTCTTATTTATTGACTGATTGCATTTTATGTATTTATTGATTCATTTGTGATTTATTGATTGATTCATCAATTGTATTTTATTAATCAGTCAGTCCATTAATCAAATCAATAAAATCACATAAACCAATAAATACATATAAAATCCAATCGGTCAATAAATGAAATCCCCTAAATAAAAAAAAGTGACTGAATGGATTGATTTATTGTATTTTATTAATTGGTCAGTCAAATCAAATCAATCCATTCATTGTTGTTTTTTTATTTTATTTAGGGGATTTTACTTATTGATTGATTTATGGGACTTTATTGACTGATTGGATTATCTTTAAGGAATTTATTTATATTTGATTAATTTAAAAAAAAAAAAAGTCATTTTAGAATATTTCAGAATTATGTTACAACATACTTTTTTTTCGGCATGGTTTTGTAAGACTGACCCACTTGTGCAGCTTACTTGTTCTTAGTTACTTTGTAATGCATTTAAAGATGCAAGATGTTCTCACAGCTAGCCGTTTACAAAAGAAAGACCGAAGCTGGTTTGCTCAGAGAAATCCAAAATAAAAGCACATAATCCTGTACTTTTCTGACAACCGTACAAAAACCAGAAGCACAAAACTCCTCACAACAGAGCAATTCAAACTGCTGACACAGAGGCTTTCTATGAAGAAAATACAACAGCACATTTAACAATAGCCAGGCCAAAGAGAGATTATTTCCTCTACATGATAATAATGTTAAAAAAGGACATTATGTGGTGAGTGGTCCAGACAGGTAAACTAAAGTATGTTAGATACTGAGACACGTAACAGTAGCCATGTGCACAAGGTGTGTAGGGTTAAGCCTGGCAGAGATGCACATTAACAAGAAAAAATTATGCTGTAGAATGTAATGATGCATTATTGTACTCAATGAAGGGTTTTATGGTGTCTCACCTGTAAAAGGCATGTGTTTCTGTGATGGCCCGATACAGACCGCTGGCTGCTCTATTACTGATTAACTTGAACAGCAGGACCACACTGTCGCTGGTTTCCTTGGTGACAGTCAAGTACACGCTCTTCCCTGATTGCGTGGCAATTTGTATTATGGGATAAGATATCCTGCATTGAAAGGAAAATATGATGCATTACTGAAAGGCAGCGATGGCACAAATTAATTTCATGTTACATGACTGATTCTGGGATGTGAGCTGGGCGTTATTTTATGACAGTTATGCCATCAAGAGCACTTTATGCCGTGCCTAACCTGTTAACCAGGCTGAAGTCCTCTCGGCAGATAGCGATGCCGTCTGGTCCCACACCGATAGCCAACCTCTGTCCTTCAGCGTCCCGCACCCAGTGCCACTCCACCCCATAATGCTCCAGAGACGACACCAGCTGCAGGGCCTGGTACTCCACCGACGCCTGGGTCAGACCCTCCAGAGCCTTGTGCTTGGCTATGATACTGCCGAAAAAACAAGAGACATTGAGTCTGAGAGGAAAATGACACCAGCTGATCATGTGAAAAGTAGGACAGAGGAAGAAAAATCTGTTTTGTTTTGTTTTATGTTAAAGGTTTTTCTTATGTTACACACTAAAAGTAAATCTCAAAACAGTGTAAACTAATAACCCCTTTTATTACAGCTGGTAACAAATAGGATGGCTCGTGACGTAATGTAACATCCCATAATGCAACGTAACGGCTCGTAACGTAACGCCTTGTAATATAACGTGACATGATGGCCCGTAATGTAACGTGATGCTTGTAACATAACCTAACGTGATGGCTCGTAACATAACATGATGGCTTGTAACATAACCTAACGTGATGGCTCGTAACATAACATGATGGCTTGTAACATAACCTAACGTGATGGCTCGTAACATAACATGATGGCTTGTAACATAACGGCTTGTAACATAACGGCTCGTAACATAACGTGATGGCTTGTAATATAATGTGACATGATGGCTCGTAACCTAACGTGATGGCTCGTAACATAACCTAATGTGATGGCTCGTAACGCAACCAAACATAACGTGATGGCTCGTAATGCAACTACATGACAATTACTTGTATTATGGCTAATGATTTGTTTAAACTGGAAACAGTACTTAAGAACTAAAATTATCTACCAGGCTGTTTTATATGCTGATACTGGAAGATAATATCAGAAGTACATTAACATGGGCGTTAACCAATAAAGTTGCCAATTTATTGTGCATAAACAAGTAAAATAACACGTCAGTCACTGACAAAGTCCATGGCTTTGTGTTCCCCTGTATGAGGCCCTTTGATTTTCTTCTTGTACACATTAGTCTTTATTTGATTCGGTGACAATGATAATTAATCACTACAGACAGATCTCATTAATCCTCTTTGATTGTAGTTGATTAGGTCGTCTGTTATCGAACCCAAACAAGCTAAAGAGTCTGAACAGAACTCTATAAAAGGAGCAGTGTAATTAGTCAAACAGAATTAGGAGTGCTTTGTTTTTAGCCACGCGGCTCTGGATAAGATGTTCACAAGAGTGCGCAGATTACAGCTCAGCTCCTTTGACTTTCTCTATTAAGTAAACACCTAACAATCAGTTTAAAAATGTATTTGAGGGTAAAAAAAAAAAAAAGGGGAAAAAAAAAAAAAAAAAAAAAAAAAAAAAAAAAAAATCACAACCTTTATACTAAAGTAACATTAAAATACACTCAGTCACTTCTCTTGGAGGTCAGTTTGTGTGATCTTCAGTTTTATTTTAACATGACTTGTGAGTTTCAGTTCCATTTATATTTTTAATATTCCTTTTCGGTTTCACTTTTATTTTTAACAGTTTATTGTGTTCATAACAGATGAACATTGTGCTGTGCTCATAACAACCCAGTGAAAATAATATCAGCCCTGCAATATAGTTGCAAAAATTTGTGCATACTAAATGTGCATTTGTAAACAGTTGGGAATATTTTCATACTAACTGCACGAGAAGTTACAGGTCTGTGAGAGCCAGAAATCTTGCTTGTTTGTAGGTGACCAAATACTTATTTTACCGAGGAATTTACCAATTAATTCTTTAAAAATCCTACAATGTGATTTTCTGGATTTTTTCTTCTAATTTTGTCTCTCATAGTTGAGGTATACCTATGATGAAAATTACAGGCCTCTCTCATCTTTTTAAGTGGGAGAACTTGCACAATTGGTGGCTGACTAAATACTTTTTTGCCCCACTGTATGCATTTACATATATTTTATCAGTTAAAGTACACTACCGCCCCAAAGTTTGGGGTCAGGATTTTTCTTTTCAAGAAATTAATACTTCTATTCATCAAGGACCCAAAGTGACAGTGAAATACATTTATAAATTTTACAAAGACTTCAAATGATCTTTTAATCATAGAATCCTAAAAAAAATAAACTCACGATTTCCATAATATTAAGGAGCACAACTGTTTTTAATAATGATACGAAGATGAAGACGACGAAGAAGAGTTTCAACATATTAGAATGACTTTTGAAGGATCATGTGGCACTGAAGACTGGAGTAATTATGCTAAAAATTCAGCTTTTCATAACGGTTATAAATTCAAAAATATATTAAAATAAATATTCCTTTTATATTGCTGATTTTAATGTATTTTGATCAAATAAATGCAGCCTTGGTGAGCATAAGAGACTTTTCAAATAGTTTCCAAAAAATAAATAAATAAAATAAATGACCAACCCCAACATTTTTAGTGTATATAAAAAAAATTGCAGATAAAGTCTATGAATCTCCTTATCAAATTCTATAGGAATAGAAAAATACTGCACCACATCAGACAACCTCAGTTACTTTATTCTCTCTAATCGATTTATGAAATGGATAACCTAAGGAAGGTTCCGGGTTCAATACAAGGAAGACAAACTCTACCAACACCATTTCTGATTTCTGATGTTTGTAATATAAAACAACAGCCCTGAACAAGCATGTGATTATTTTCTGTAATTTGTCAATAAACCTTAACTTCTATTAAACCCCAAACATTCAATTAAATGTTTTTTTATTAAATACAAAAAAAAAAAGACAGACAACACACACAAACAAGTTGAAGGTCATAGAGATAATAGTGAGTGACATTTTGTTTGTTTACCTGTTGATGGTGGCTTGGTTGAGCTCTGTGGCACAGAGTTCAGTGTACCAGTACTTGGCTGTGTTCTGGTTATAGTCACCGAACTCGGCCTGGGCCAGGAGGGCGCTGAGCTCTTCGGCCTGTTCCGAGCACATCCGCAGATGTCCACGATGCAGATCCTCTTTCACATGCATAAAAAACAGGTGTCTGTAGAGCAGAGCAGAAAGACAAAGAAAGTGAGAGAGTTAGTTATGAATGGAAACAGGTGGCTGGTGGTACTGTGGAAAGTGAGGGAAACGCATATGGATGTCGACAGGTGGTCCGACAGGAAAGAGAGAGCGATCCACGCAGACTGAAACAGCTGACGGGGAACTTTCATTACAAAAACACGTCTTGCACATGCTCTTACGTGTTGGATTCAACTAGCATTTTAGTATGATCCACGAATAGAGATAATTTATAGGTGAACCGATCCTTTAAAAAGGAACAGTGAAAACCAGAAGTGGCAAAAAGTCAATTGAAAATAACAATAGGTCAAAGGAAAAGCAGAAATGACGGTTTCCATTCGAAATGGTCACTTTCACTTCAAAAACCAAACCGGAGAATATTGCAACTGCATTTGTGTGTGTGAATTGGTTTGACTTTTGCTTCCGCCTCGGTCTTATCTCTTGTATCTGTTGGCGCAACAGGCCTCGCAGTTATAGGGCTCTTAATGCAGAACGCTCTCGGCGTGTTTCCAAACGATAAGCATGCCGTCTCATACAAAGCATGAAAACCACACTCACTACTCACTGCTGACATAAAGCTGACAAATCCCTGTAGCTGTAATGCAGGTGTGCTAATTGTGTGTTTTACTGAAGACGGATCTCTTTTCAGCTGGCTGTGGGACTGTCAGTATCTATTCTTTGATCAATCAATGACAGGAGAAGTCTCAAGGAAAAAAACTTGACTTTAAAGTTACATAAACCAGGCTTGCAGCCATGAGAACTCTGGTTTGTTATGGACTTATCTTTTTAGTGACCGATTCTCTTTAGGGAATGTTTTTCAACTTGACTAAGTGTCAGGATACTTCCTGCGCCGCTGTAAAATGTACAGATAAATGGAATTTAATTACACCGTAACGGCAAACAACAAGGTATTTTGCAGATGCACAATGTCAATAAATGATTATTAGAAGAGCAGGACTGGAAAATCTGGAAGTTACAATTGTACATGTTTTAAAAAAAAAAAAAAAAAAAAAAAAAAAATGGACGCTTGCATTTAAAAAAAAAAATGCACTTTGTAATAATGTTCAATTAAAAGTTTTACTTTAAAAGTACATGAAAGAATTTAAAAATATTTAAACAATGATTTAAAAGTACACTTATTTTGATGTGTTGCCTAACATACTAAAGCACAGGTAAAGTAATTTATAATTTTAGTGGTGCCATTCAATATTAAGTTAATATATTTTAAGTATACTAAACTGAAACTTCATTACAAATGTGCATTTACAAATATAATAAAAAAAGCGTAATTAAAAATTTCAATAGAAATGACATTAAAATATATTTTAGTTTCTCATAAATGCTTGTACGTACATTCAGCATTAAACATTAACTGTATTTCAAAAGACTAAAGTAACAAAACTAGGAATAAAATACAAAAACAAAAGTGAGTCTGCATGTTTGCATTGTGCATGATTTAAAAATGTAAAAGATAAAAACTGAATATGAAAATATTATAGAAAAGTAAGACTATGCAAGTAAACTATGAAACAAATGCGTATTGCATGTCTGCACGGTGCATCATTTAAAAATAATTTAACTAAAAATAGAAATGTAAATAAACCTGTGAAACAAATTGTATTTCCAATATTATAGAAAAGTAAGACTATGCAAGTAAACTATGAAACAAATGCGTATTGCATGTCTGCACGGTGCATGATTTAAAAATAATTTAAAAACTAAAAATAGAAATGTAAATAAACCTGTGAAACAAATTGTATTTCTGTCTCATACTAGAGTTGAAACAAAATACAAATTAGATGTTTAACAACTACAACAACTCAAAATGAATAAAATGTTTGCTATTTATTCAAGTTATTTACTCATCATGACAACAATAATAATAAATATATTTTTTAATTAAACATGTTTGTGTGTGGTTTTGCATCTGCGTCATACTTATGTTCAGTGAAAAACAAGTTGAATTTGTCTGAACTGTATCAGCAGCTCATCTTCTCCCGTGGTTCTTCACAAACCGGTCTAGTAGCATCATGGGTGAACTAGCACCTAAACCTCCCTTCTTCCTGAACTAACCAGCTCCTGTAGGTTTCTGTATATCTGACCCAAAGCCTTTGTCCCCATACCCTAATGTCCATTTATGTCCACTACAGGGCACAATGTCAAATGTTGCAAGACCCCCGAGACTAGGTTTGGAGACCAAACAGGACTGATGTTTTCCCCCAGCATGCCTCTGTTCCCCCAGCCAACAGAGGAGCATGGGAACACCAAAAACAGGCTGGGAGATGCTCCTGCTCTGCACGCAGGCGATGGCTCTTTAGGAAAACAAACACTGGCATATCAGTTCGCGCAGCGCTGCCGACAAAAGCCCCGGGCCGATAAACATTGACTTTGGATGAAAAACGACACTAGAAAAAAGGCGGAGAATGAAGATTGAGGTGGATTCATAGGCCAGACAAATAAACAAGACCTGCCGTTTGACAAAGGGAGTCTGGCTCGGCCTGACGAGGCACTTCCCTGCGGTGACATCAGACTCATGTGATGAATTACCTGGCAGGCAAAACAAAGGCATCTGATGGGGGCAGGGAGACAGAGAGGTTACTAGCGGTCAAACTCCAGCTACTCCAGGACAGAACATGCGGCGCCGGTTCAGTCAGGATCGTTACAAGACTAATCTTAGAAACACGCGGATGCCCTGATGCAGCCAATCGTCATCAACAAACACCACCACACAGTGGGATTTTACCATGGTTAACAAGGGGAATTGTTGCCATAAACTTAACCATTGAAAATCTAAAATTGATTCATATAAATGTCCCATACTGGACACACACTTAAATAAAAATAAACAAACAAACACTATTATCTTATCTGTACTTGGAGATAATACAATATGAATGAAAAAAGGGTATGTAAGTGTACTTAAATTGTGCCAAGACACTTCAATTGTACTTGTAACGAAGTGGACACTTGTATTTTCTTAAATGCATTGTAACCATGTTAAAATTAAAAGTTATTAAAGTACTTCAAATCATTGTTTAAATATTTTGTTATTTTTTGTTGACAAATACTAAACCACATGTAAAGTAATTGATTATAGTTTTAACTGCAACATTCGATATTAAGTTAATATTTTAAGTGTGCCGAATCAAAACTTAATTACAAATGTGTATTTACAAAATATAAATCAAATGCATGAAATAAGTTTAAATAGAAATGACATTATAGCATATTTTAGTTTATCATAAATGCTTGTCAGTATATTCAGCATTAAACACTAACTAGATTTCAGAGACGAAATTAGTATATACACAATTGCATATAAAAGATATACTTTTTTTTTTAAAGCACTTTTAAAGAGTGGAGTCTAAAGTCTTAATGTTATCAGATTAGTGGGCATGAGAGGGGGCCACAGATGGGCCCCACTCGTCTCACTACATCTCACTTCATAGCCTTTTCAGCAAAGTGAAAGTAAACACTAAGGGGCAGTTTACACGCCAATGTTTTCAGCCAAAAATGGGGTGGGGGGGGGGACTCTACACGACAACGGTGTTTTGGGGATTGAAAACGCATATTTTTGAAAACTGCTTTCAAAGTGCAAGTTTTTGAAAAAACTCCATCATTATCGTTTCGGTGTAAACACCCAATACGGGAATCTTTGAAAACGGTGACGTCATGGGCGTGCGTAGTACGTGTTAGGTATGTAGACATGCGCAGTACGTGTCGATTTTAAAGGCAAGAGCGAACAAACATACACAACAATGGCGGAGTACATGGTAACGTTACTGTTGTTGCCGTTTAAGAGTTTGCTAACGCTTTTTCAGCAAAGTGTGGTTTGTCGTACACAACAAATAATCGTCACTTCCCTACAGGTACTGTTTACTAACAAGGTGACAGCGCCAACTACTGGCCTGACATACGCAATACAGTTCGTGGATGTGTGTATACACGAATCGTTTTGAAAACGCTGTCGTGTATATGTTAAACTTTTTAAAAACGCAAGGGAAAAACTTTGACTGTTTTTGATTACATCGTTGTTGTGTAAACGTAGCCTGAGTGTATGGGTGCACAAGGTCAACCATTCATGTTATAAAATATATGATCCTGTCTGTCTGTAACCTTCATCAGCAATGCCGCTGCACCTGTTTGAGCCGATAAGCGAAACTAGAGCACAACGCACTCACAGCTTTTCCTACCATTCAACTCTGTATATGTGTTGGGTACGTTAACATCTACACCCCATTAGTTTGCATTTACTACATACATTTACACTAATGTTCTAAACGAGTATTATTGCCACACCTAAAAAATAAAAATTCCACTAACATCTTCAAAACAAAAACTGCACAAACATGCACCTCTTTTCTTTGAGGGCCCTAAATTTTCTCAGAAGTGAATTATCTCAGAGTTCCTCACCAAAAAGACAAAGAAATCTTCACTTTGCAGGAGGAGCATTTGATTGTGTAACTGGAAGAATTCAATTAAAACGCCTGTGCCATTCTGCTGACAAGAAATGGGTCATAGCGTGATATCTGAGAGAGCTTGGGCTTTGCGAAGGAGGGCTTTTGTGGGTTTGAGGTTTTGGCTTCAAATGCGGTGCACTTTCTGCAGAATTTCCTCAGATGTTTGGCTGGAAAGTAAATCTTACGACAGGCAGAAAGAAAATAATCTGAATTACTCAAAGTTCACAAAGTTTATGGCATCGTCAAATCAGATGATCACTTTGGGAGACATTGAAGGGTTTAAATAGATGGGCAGAATTTTTTTTTTGCAAACCTACTTTTACACATTTTAAACATTTTCAAGACAATCCTGTTTAATTGAAAACAAATTTTAATATACAATTTAATTATTATAAATATTACAAATAAATTAAACTGGGAAACATGACGTGTTGTCAGATCAAGTCCTCTCCACATAACCTTATAAGTCACTGTTTTTGTTCTCACTCATTCTTTCCTTTCTAATTGTTTTATCTTCTCC